GGTGAAGTGGATCAAGATTGGTCCACGTGGTGTGAAGCTTTGCCTTTATAAACCATCCCGTAAACAAAACAAGATTTGCTTTTGTGCATGAAAGCTCCGTGATTGAACTACCACGGCATTCCATATTTGGTTATATTTTCGAGAGGCAAGATAGTTTTTTTTGAATTTCCCAAAAAAAGGTCTGAATCATCGTAACTGCTTTGCTTCCTCTGCGAAGATAGCAAAATGTAAGAAAACTTGTACTATTTATACTAAATGTACTTTGTTGGCAGATAAACTAATACAGGACATTAGTAATAGGTTTTTGTTTGCACTGGATTTGCTAGCATAGCTAACACGACATGTGTGTGTACAACACGTGTGTGTGTACAAAGGAAGCGGTAATGTAGTCGCGGTTATCGCGCTGTGCTCCAAACCTGGCGAAGCGAGTTCGATTCCCACTCACGGGCAACACCAGTGGAGATTATCTAAACCTGTCCTGCATCTCCCCTAGGTCGACTTATCTTCAAATGAGTATCTGGTGCGGTGAGTAAACATCGCCACTCGGAAGAAAAAAAATGCGGCAGGGCGTGATGCTGGCCACCCAGAACTTCCCCATTCTGTTCAGGCTATACGGGGAACTTTGCCTTTGTACGAAGGAAGTCAGGCTGTGCCCTGGTTCCGATTCTAGGCCTCTAAATCTCTTCTCAAAGTGTCTCGACACTCCAACCAATCTTGGATAGTACTCCTCGTCACGTGGTAAGAGGTACACTTTCCTATGGTGGGAACCGTGGAAGGTAAAACCGATTCCTTTTTCATCCTGGATATGATTGAGAGTAGCATCGGTAAATGGATGTCTCGGTCAGTAATTCCAGCTGCTGGCATCAGGGAACATCCATTCACGCGCTCGGAGAACGCTCGCAGTGGACACGACCTCACACAGACCCACATACTCACACATAGACCCACATACTCACACAGAAACCCACAGACTCTCAAACATAGACCCACAGACTCACACAGATACCCAAAGACTCGCACAGATGCCCACAGACACAAACATAGACCCATAGACTCACACAGACTCGCATAGAGACTCACACAGACCCATCGGTTCCCCCACCGCTTGCAGGGCAATGAGCCGCCTGCTGGCCAGGTTGGTGATGGTGATGAGATGTGCGACGACGGGTATATTCAGGATGATATTTGCGTTTCCCAGTTGTTCCTCCACCAGTTTCCAATGCTGCCCCGTGTGTGACCAAGACCGTATGTTTTTCTCGGTTTGACATACATACATACTTTCGTAGGGAACACAATCATACAATCCAGTGTCATTGTTGTAGTGTACACAATCACTGCCCAGTAAAACAATGGCGTTCTCACACGAAGCCACGGGCAGTTTTCATTTGTATCGTGGTTTTTTTTTAATGTTCAGGGAATACAATATCACGCGTTGCAGAGACAGGTCGTTAGAATTGACGGACAGCGTCGTTAATTGTCGCTGGGAATTTGTGTCACACGTGCAAATAGAAACGTATTTTGGCTGAAACGGTCATTTAAAATACAACATTAATAATCATTGTTTTTACCGATGCATAATCGTTGTTGCTCCAGTGGTGTACGCACAGTGAGGGAAAAAAGTATTTGATCCCCTGCTGATTTTGCACGTTTGCCCACTGACAAACATACAAGGCAGAATTACAACAAGAAAATCCAGAAAAACGCATGTCAAAAATGTTATAAATTGATTTGCATATTAATGAGGGAAATGAGTATTTGACCCCCTCTCAATCAGAAAGATTTCTGCCTCCCAGGTGTATTTTATACAGGTAACGAGCTGAGATTAGGAGCACACTCTTAAAGGGAGTGCTTCTAATCTCAGTTTGTTACCTGTATAAAAGACACCTGTCCACAGAAGCAATCAATCAATCAGATTCCAAACTCTCCACCATGGCCAAGACCAAAGAGCTCTCCAAGGATGTCAGGGACAATATTGTAGACCTACACAAGGCTGGAATGGGCTACAAGACCATTGCCAAGCAGCTTGGTGAGAAGGTGACAACAGTTGGTGCGATTATTCGCAAATGGAAGAAACACAAAAGAACTGTCAATCTCCCTCGGCCTGGGGCTCCATGCAAGATCTCACCTCGTGGAGTTGCAATGATCATGAGAACGGTGAGGAAACAGCCCAGAACTACACGGGAGGATCTTGTCAATGATCTCAAGGCAGCTGGGACCATAGTCACCAAGAAAACAATTGGTAACACACTACGCCATGAAGGACTGAAATCCTGCAGCGCCCGCAAGGTCCCCATGCTCAAGAAAGCACATATACATGCCCGTCTTAAGTTTGCCAATGAACATCTGAATGATTCAGAGGACAACTGGGTGAAAGTGCTGTGGTCAGATGAGACCAAAATGGAGCTCTTTGGCATCAACTCAACTCGCCGTGTTTGGAGGAGGAATGCTGCCTATGACCCCAAGAACACCATCCCCACCGTCAAACATGGAGGTGGAAACATTATGCTTTGGGGGTGTTTTTCTAAGGGGACAGGACAACTTCACCGCATCAAAGGGACGATGGACGGGGCCATGTACCGTCAAATCGTGGGTGAGAACCTCCTTCCCTCAGCCAGGGCATTGAAAATGGGTCGTGGATGGGTATTCCAGCATGACAATGACCCAAAACACACGGCCAAGGCAACAAAGGAGTGGCTCAAGAAGAAGCACATTAAGGTCCTGGAGTGGCCTAGCCAGTCTCCAGACCTTAATCCCATAGAAAATCTGTGGAGGGAGCTGAAGGTTCGAGTTGCCAAACATCAGCCTCGAAACCTTAGTGACTTGGAGAAGATCTGCAAAGAGAAGTGGGACAAAATCCCTCCTGAGATGTGTGCAAACCTGGTGGCCAACTACAAGAAACGTCTGACCTCTGTGATTGCCAACAAGGGTTTTGCCACCAACTACTAAGTCATGTATTGTAGAGGGGTCAAATACTTATTTCCCTCATTAAAATGCAAATTAATTTATAACATTTTTGACATGTTTTTTTCTGGATTTTGTTGTTATTCTGTCTCCCACTGTTCAAATAAACCTACCATTAAAATTATAGACTGATTATTTCTTTGTCAGTGGGCAAACATACAAAATCAGCACGGGATAAATATTTTTTTCCCTCAATGTATATCTATATCAAATATATTATAGATTTTTTATATTCTGTAATGGTAATTTTGGTAACTGTAAATAAATTTAGACCTTTGAACACGGGACAAGTGTGATGCCATAGCAGAGAAGCCGCTCTGTCGGCGCCGCGCCTGCGATGCCCCCGCAACAAAGCAGCCTGGCCGACGCTGTTTCCCCCTCACCACCCCCCACACGAACAGACACACACACCCCCACGTAGAACCTCGTGGGGAAGTCACCTGGCCTCCAGGTTTTCACCCAGGAGCCCTCCTCGTGGGAACATCCTCCACGGTTTCCTGGGGCCAGGGAATTGGCCGACTTCCCCCAAGTTGAATTACACTGTGGCGCCGTGAATTGACGTGAAATTGCATGGTCATGACGAGGCTACTCAGCCACCGCGGTTAGGACACACACAGCGCGGCAGGTAGAGGGGGGACGGAGCCACGAATGATGGGCGCGGGCACCCAGAAGGCAGAATCAGCCGGGTAGGCGCCTGATTGGCTGGGGGATCTGCGTGAGCACCAGAGTAAGCGTCTGATTGGCAGGACAAGTGTGCTCGTACACCCCGTCCAATGCAACAGCCCAGCGGTGGCCCCTTTGATGTGTAAAGAGCATCCTCCAGGGTGGATGCGCGATGGCTGCGATGGAAACGCCGGTTGATCCAGAGAATAATGACGTTTATTACGCCTTTTGTTTCGGACGTTAATACTTATTTTACTCATGATATTACATTTTCATTGAAACTAGGTAAACTGCCCTGATTAAACGACCCTGACTGTAAGATATAAATGCCCCCCCCCCCCCCCCCCAAAAAAAAATCTTATAACAGCGTTGTTATATTTTGTATGTTCTAATATTTAATCATGTTGTTCGAGTGGTATTTAAAGAGAGATAAGTGAATGCAATTTGTCGCCAGGGGGTTGCGGGGGTGGGGAGCTGGGGTGGTCCGCGGAAATGTTTCCATCGGCTGAGTGGGGCCCAAAGCAAGTTTGAGAAACAGCGCTGCCCCGACGCTTCACCCCACTGCAGGTGTTGTGGCGAGCCGGGCCGAGTGGGTGGCGGGACTTCCCGTTCATCTCAGACTCGCCTTCCCCCCCCAAAAAAAAAACTAAAATAAATAAACAATTGTTTCATTTTTCTTAAAATTTTATTTTCTACTTCTCTCACGCTACTCGCTGCGCACGGTCATACTTTATTCTGCGAGCGGTTGCGATTTCGCTTTGCTCGGTCGGCGCTAGCCGCTGAGGTCATTTTTTGGGGTTCCTTTCTTCATCCCTGTTGCTGCTCCGTCTCACTCCACCGGCACCGTTTCCATTCCGGTTTCATCTTCACCGATGCACTACTTTGTTGAGGGCGATATCGGCGCGTAAATGGAAGATTGATTGATCTCGTCCAAGTAAAATTGGGGCCTTCTTCAAATTTGACCCGTCGGCCCTCCGGGCTTTATCTGTTCCGGACTCGTCGGTGCCGCCCCTCGTGGGCCCCATCATCCCCCTGCACATGGCCTCGCTGGGCCCACGCCGTGCCATGGTGTCACCCCTCCCTACCTCCCTCGCTCTCCCCCTGCACGCCCTTCCGATCTCCCCTCCCTCCTCTCTCCCTCGCCTCTCTCACTCTCCCCTCGTCCTCCATTTCCATCTCCATCATTCTCCCCATCTCTCCTCCCCCTCTCCTTCGCTTCTCTCGCTCTCTCCTCGCACTCCTTTAACACCTCCCCCCTTCCTCTTCACTTGCCTCCCTCTATCTCTGACTCTCCCCTCGTCCTCCCTTCCCATCTCCCCTCCCTCTCTCCCTCGCTCTCCCCTCGCACTCCTTTCCCATCTCCCCTCCCTCCTTCCTCACTTGCCTCTCTCCCTCTCTCACTCTCCCCTCGTCCTCACTTCCCATCCCTTCTTGCTCCCTCGTTCTCTCCCCGATTGACGTGAACCGCCTGGAAACAGGCTTGCATGCGCCTTATACACTGACAAAACAAAATCTACTCAACAACTTTTTTTATTGTACCAGGTAAGGCCCACTGAGCTGTGTAGCACTTTTTTTTAGAAACGACCTGGCCACAAATGATATCTCAACGAAGTGGCTTATCGCGTGGAAATTTATATCAGCCAAATACTCGAAAACGCACATTGATTCTAAATGGAGGGAAAACCGGAGGACCCAGAGAAAAAAATCCACGTGACCACGGGGAGAGAGACTTTTGCGTGGCATTTTGTTCACCGCCTCCGTTTAAGTTTCTGCGCAACTCGTCACTTTGTAATTCGTTTGTTTAATCTCTTCTCCCAAAGGTTTCCCCTTCCTGCCCTTGGCGCTGCCCTCCATTGGCGTCGTTTCTGCACCACCCCTGCTGTGGAGCAGAAGCGCTTTGCCACACAGTACCCGACGCAAGGGCGATGAGCGAACTCAAATCATCACCCTTGGACAACAATCTCCACCGTTGCTTTGTGCGGACGTGGGGACATGGAAGAACCATGGCTCACGGTTATGGGTATCGAATATTCCGACCAGGAATGTTGTTCAGTAGCTATAGACGACCGGCAGGAAGCAGAGTGAACTGACGGAGAAGCCGCTATTCTAAAACTTGTTTGCAAAATAAGAAGCATCGTGACCAATGGGAGTTTTGAAGATAACACGAAAGCAGAGAAACCCCTTTTACTGCATCATTCATAAATCACTGCTCGTCTGAGAGGCCACCACACGTTGATTAGTCATGAATCACTATCATCATCAGATTTTATGCACTGCCATTAATTTAATGGCATGATCATGGCTACAGGAGTTTGATTGGCTGGGCTAAGATAAAGATCGTCGTGTTACAATAACTGGAATTATCTAAAGGTACCCCCGGCGGTAGCGCATTTGTCTCTTGTTGTTGCAGAGGTGTCACGGTTCGAATCCAGTGGCCACCCTGGCTAATACTGTGATGCGTGTTAACCACAACAATGCTACATGCCGCCATCTGCTTCCGAGTGGACGTTAAAGATCCCCCCAATGTCATTCTCAAGAGTGCCGGTGTGTGTGGGTCAAAATTTCATGTCACAAAATACTCAATTGGGACACTGCATGGCAATCTTTGCCTCCTACTGGCCGCACTCTTGCGAGTGAGACTCCTATCCTGGTCTCTTGAGATCTGACCGAGCTCCACAAAATCTCGAGATCTGACCGGGCTCAACAAAATCTCGAGATCTCACCGGGCTCAACGAAATCCCGAGATCTCACCGGGCTCAACAAAATCTCGAGATCTCACCGAGCTTCACAAAATCTGGAGATCTCACCAGGCTCAACAAAATCCCGAGATCTCACCGGGCTCAACAAAATCGCGAGATCTCACCGGGCTCAACAAAATTTCGAGATCTCACTGGGCTCAACAAAATCCCGAGATCTCACTGGGCTCAACAAAATCTTGAGATCTCACCGCGTTCAACAAAATCCCGAGATCTCACCGGGCTCAACAAAATCTCGAGACCTCGCTGGGCTCAACAACATCAACTCGAAACTACAGCTCGTCATCAATGTGCAATGGGCCGACTCTTCCTCTAAAACCTTGCCCCCGTTTCTGTCTCGGTATGAGGCCCTCCGACTCTCCACGGATCCTCGTTTCCACATTCCTGGTCTTCTTAACGGCCGGCCTGGTATCCAGCCTCCCCTCCCCTGCCCCTCTGCCGCCACTGGCGTGCGCGTACTGCCGCTTCGGCATCGCGCCTTCCCTCGCCAATCTCCGCCCACCCTCACTCCCGTGCGGCGTGCCTCCATCTCTGCCGCCTGTCCCCGCCAAGCCCTTCCTGTCGTTCTCCTCCACTTGGCCAACTTCAGAAATCGCCCTTGCGTTCAAAACCTTCCCCTCGCGCTCTCCTGGCCGGTTCGCTGCTCCCACCACTCCATCCGTGCCACGTTTCCGCCCGGCAGCAGGATCAGGACCGCGGGCTGAACCGCCTTGGCCCTCCGCAGAATCGGACGTGGCGCGGGCGGCACATTCAGGAGCATTCCTCTGGTGTTGCTGCTGCTGTTGCTGCTGCTGTTGTTGGAGTTCCTGCTGTTGGTTCAGCAGCTGGTGCTGTTGCTGCTGGTGCTGCTGCTGTTGGTTCAGCTGCTGGTTCTGCTGCTGGTGCTGCAGCTGCTTCGCGATGTCGCCGCACAGGCCGGAGAGGTGGGCCGCCCTCGAGATTGCCTCGTGCGCTGCCCGCTGCGCCCCACCGTGCATCCCTGCGGCCTGCGTCGATGTCTCCCCTTGACCGCCCGGCCTGCCCAGCGGGACGGGGCACCCGTTCTCCCCCGGGTGGACGGCGGTCATTGTCGTTCGAGGTGTCAAGCGAACTGCGAGGGCCGTCTGCTCCACGCATCCCCGCTCATCCTCCCGAGGGGTTCCTCCACTCCCGCACCACGCTGCTGCTGCCTTCTCCTCGCCTTGCCCCTCGCTCGCCCGCTCCTTTGAGCTGCCTTCTTGCCCTCTCCCGGCGCCTCCCGAGTCTTTCGCCCAAGCAGGCGCCCCCACGGCGCCATCGTCGTCCGCGTCCTGCCAAGCTCCGACTTCGGTCCGCGATCTCACCGGGCTCCCGTCGCGCCCGGGCACCGTTGCTCTCTCTTCCGGTTCCGCCTCATCCTCGCCGAGGCCTCGTCCCTGCCGCCTGGGCAGTTCAAGCGGCAGGGGGCGATCGTCTCCTGGCGGGGTGGAGGCCGCGGGGGCCGTGGGCCGCGAGCACCGCTCCATTGCCCGCGAGATCTCCTCGCAGGCGCTCGCGATTTCGTGCCCGGCCTTGAGGTGTAGCTCTGCTTCGGCGCACACGCACGGCGCCATCTGGGCGATCCGGAACCCTGCGGGGCTAGTGGGGGGCCCGGCGGCGGTGGCGGGCGGCGCCGTCCTGCGGCGCCGTTTGGAGCGCGTGCCCCTTGGCCCGGCGCTCTTCTCGGGCGGCCGCGCTCGCTCCATCACCGCCTCCGTCGCCTCCTCCTCCATCGCGCCGCCGGCCCGGCTGATCCCGCTGTCGACGCCTTCGTGGCCGCCGGCTTTGTTCCCGCCGTGGGAATATTCCATGGCGGCAGCGGCCGGGGGACAGCGGGCGTTGAGTAGGGAGTGAGCGGCGGCTGTGCCCTGCTCCGTCACAGTCCTCGCGATGTCCTCGCTGAACCGAGAGAGGGCCGCCGTGCCGATCGTCGCCGTCGCACCACCTCGCGGACTGTCGGGCGGTGCCGACGCACCCCCTCTGGACATTCCAGCTGTGGCAGCCGTACCCATGGAACGCTCCTCCTCTTCTCCCACGGCCCAGTTCACGCTGGGCTCATGGGCAGCCAAACCGGGATCCCCCGATTCCCGCTTCGTTGTGGCCCCACTCGGCGAGGCACCGACATCTGCGCGTTCCTCCTCGCTGATGCTGTCGAGCCGCCTGACCTGGCCGGCGCCGCGGACGGGGGTCGGCCGGGCTGACTCCCCCACCGCTAGTGCTGCAGGACGCATTGTGCGCTCGTCGAGAGTGCAGCTCTCGCTCGAGGGCCCTCGAGGAGGCCCCGGGGCTCCTGGCACCGGCCGCTCGTGCCGGGAAAGCCAGGCTGCACCGTTGAGGGCCGCGTGCTCGTTCCCGACAGAGCGCCGGTCGGATCCGACTCCGATCGCCATTCCCGGCGCCGTGCGTACGGCCTGTAGAGAGGACATCCATTGCAGTGCGTCGGTCAAATAAATAATGTATGCACAAGCAACAAAAGACAAAGATCCCCCGTGTAGCCTTAACAGACTGTTGGGACAAGTGCTGTTAGCGAGCGGTGTTGGTGGCCGTGAGCTGGAATCAAACTCGGGTGGCCAGGTTCGTCACGCAGCATCGCTAACCGCGACACATTTACCGCACACGCGCATGTTTTTCATGCATCTGGAAATACGCTTTTGTCTCTCCATCTCCAGCCAGTGGCCAAAGTACAGCCCAGGCCTCCACTGTCAACCTAAATGCAGGGTTCAGATCGGGTGATTCTGAGGTTTTCGTTGCCCCCACCAACCCCCTAAGCAGCCTTTTTGTGATGGATAGACAGATGGCCGTGAAGAATTAAGGGTCAAGCCCTTCCAACCGGTGCAGGAAAGAGTTGGATAACGTTTGCAAATTCTTTGCTGTCGCCGTTTCTATTCTTGCGTTTGGCAGTATGCTCAGGAGCTGGATGCCAATGTCGAATCCTGACCGCCACGATGAGTGGGGCTTCAGGAGTAAGAGAGAGTTTGTGTGCGGCAAGTCCTCGCTTCATGCGTTGTGGTGTTCACACTGGAACGCGTTTTTGCTGTAACGCTTGATTCCTTCCACTAGGGACACCGTTATACCGTTGAATGCGTGCCGTTATAATGCGGAACACACACCGTTATATCGCAGAACGCGCGCCTTTATATAACGTGGAACGCGCGTGCCGATATAACGTGGAACGCGCGTGCCAATAGTACGCGGAATGCGCACCATTATGACGCGGAACGCGCGCCGTTATGACGCGGTAACGCGCGCCGTTATGACGCGGAACGCGCGCCGTTATGACGCGTACGGTGGGGACGCTTTCACCCTTCGTTGGGAAAGCAATGAAGGTGGCACCGTGGCTGAGGAGTCCACCGGCTGTCCTCGGGGTGTCAAAAACACGCGGCAGGATCTCCACCGCGCTCATCTCAAGAGAAACCATGAGCGTCCGTTAGGGTATGCGCCAAAGCGCCGCTCAATTTATCCGCACGGCGCTCGCTGCTCGCTGCATGCGCAGTGACCTGGCTCGTGCGGCCGTTACAATCACCTTCAAGTAACAAAAATATTCCCTTTAATTGATCAAATTGCACAAAATCGTGGGGAAAAATATATTTTTAAAATAAGTGTTTTTTATTTTGTTTTAAAGCTCCTGCGAGCGCCGACTTCTCCCGTGACCCGCCCTGCCACCGTCGTCGCTGGGGATCGTCAGCGAGCGTGAGATTACGAATCTGGAGAATTCTGCCGAGGGAATTTTGGGAATTTTTGCGCCGGACCTGGACCCCACGCGAGTTCCCAGGGCATGCTCCGTGAATAGCGGCACCCGGCGGGGCTTTCACTGCGGTGGATCGCAAGCAAAGCCCCCGCTCCTCAAAATGACGCGTTTTGCAAATGTTTGCAAATAAATTATATAAACAACTTTTGTCGAGTTGCGGAGGAGTTCAACGGAGCACTCGGCACAATCTCCATGGGACATCCCGAGTCAGTGGTGACATTTCCACATTCCTGTGGCAGGGAGCCAGTGCGTCCAAAGGACAAAACTGTTGTTGTCCCACCACGTGACGGAGCAGCCTTAACTAGGACGTGTGCAGATTTTACCGGCCTCTGAGGGATGATGGTGGTGATGATGATGTTTGATGATGAAGCTGATACTGATGCATCTAATGATGCTGCTGCTGATGGTGATGGTCGTCCTCATGATGATAATGACGATTATGATGTTAAGATTGATGATGAAGCTGATACTCAGTTTAACACTCGAATTGTAAATGTTGTGGGTTTTACTCTCCAACACACCGGTGTGCTGTGCTAGTAACGAATTGGCACGTTTTGTTTACGTGACAAACCTTTACTAATTGGCTGTATCGGCTGGTGGCGGGTTTAACGACACTTATATTTACGAAATCTAACCAAAAAACCTCTATTATGGAGAAGCTTAATCTTGATTTGAAGCTTTCGTGACTGCAGGAATCCATAATCTTTGGTTCTTTCGGTAAAGTCACGTAGGTAGAAAAATAAAATAAACATAATACTGTATATCACGACGACAGTGGAACTTATGAACCGGCAGTTCCACTGCTGGATTATGTTTTCCGCCTGAGGATGACAGCTTGTGTTGTGATATATTATTTTTTGTTTTATTTTTCTACCTACGTGACTTTACCGAAAGAACCAAAAAGTATGGAGAAGCTGATACTGTTACTACTTTTGCTGAGGAAGCTGCTGATGCTGATGATGCTGCTGTTACTGAACTAAGTTGACCCCGGCCGGAATGTGTTATTTTATTTTATCAATTTATTATTTTATTCTCATTCTACGTGACTTTACCGAAAGAACCAAAGAAGAGGGCAAAGTCGTCCCGTTCGTACGCCCTTTTGCTGCTGTTTTTCCAACCGATTCATATCCTTTGTGCAAAACAATACAATGTGGAAATGTAGCTTTTTTTTGGTATTTATATTTTTCGTACTTGCTTAAAAAAACACACAAACACAAGAGTTGTTACGTGTTTTCGTTGGCTTCGCCTCTTATTTATTGTTTTAAGAGACAGAGAACAAGAGGAGCCTTCTCCTCCTGCGGGGTAGCTGTCACAACGGCACGCGACGCTCGCGCACAAAACCCGAAACGCGATCGCGGCATCCCGGAGGAGATTCGTTGAAACAATTTGGCGAGGAGGGGGGGGGGGGCATGGGCGGCGGGCTCCAGCCAGGGGCGTGCGACACGCCAGGGGCTCGCCACGTGGTTTCGGATGCCACGTGGTGGTTATTTAAAGAGGACACGGCAGAGAGGGGGGGCTACATGCCGAGTACCCCTCCCCCAAGAATAACCCATCTCCCCCCACGAATAAAGCTCCCCCTCTCCCCAAGAATAACTCCCCTCCCCCCCACTAATAACGCCCTCCCCTCTCCCCACTAATAATGCCCCCCTCTCCCCAAGAATAACTCCCCTCCCCTCTCCCCACTAATAATGCCCCCCCTCTCCCCAAGAATAACTCCCCTCCCCCCCCACTAATAACGCCCCCCTCTACCCTCTCCTCATAACGCCCCTCCCACCCTCCCTCACTGTTGTGCAAGCGGCTAGAATTCCCGACCTACTGAAAACACGAATGAATATGCGCTTTGTGGAAAAATTATAGATTTTTTTTTATTACTCACAGATTGTGTGAATTGGCATCAATTAAAAACTGCAATTTGAGACAGTGTGCAATTGTGGGTCAAATAGTGAAATATATTGACTATATGTCCAAACTGCAAACATTTGGAGAGTATGTGACTTTGGGGGTGAATGCCAATGTCAGAACACGGAGCCAGAACCAGCTGGGTCCTTGAATGAAATTCAAGATCCAGCACCACCACCATCACCACCAACACCACCAACACCACCAACACCATCACCACCATCACCACCATCACCACCAACACCACCACCACCAGCCACGATCAATGCACTGCTGGATCAAGGCCTCTCCGGAGCCGCCGCCATCTATTTAACATTTTTATTGTTTGTGATTTTCTGGTTTCCTTTCCTACACGTTGCACTCCAGTCGTCTTTTTGTCTTGTTCGTTGTTGTTGTAACCTTCTGACCCCATGCCCCTACCGAGCATCTGCGAGAAAGAGCTTCATAGCTCATCTGATTGCTCCAGGAGAAATAAAGATTCTGATCTCTCACAGTTAACGTCATACAGCACCTGCACACGAGGCGATTGTATCGCTCTATCTCTGCTGCTCTCGGATGCGTTCCTGCTTTTGTACGTATATATCCGTCTAACTTCTTTCGCACCATACGTAGACAACCGTGCTAATCAGAGATGCGGGGAAAGGACAAACTAAATACAAAAGGCAGTTATAAAGAAATTCGTTCTCAACCTAGATTCTGTAAAAGCGCGGCGCTTCCAATTGTCTTCCTAATATCGGAAAGGATAGCGTTCCAGAGGGCCGCAGAAGCTCATCTGAAAGCGCTGCGCGATGCGGTGACCATTTTTTGTTCGATGGCCAGCCAGGAAGCCGCTGTTGCTGTGAGCACGACCGGAGTTTGCGTGATGGTGGTTTGTGCTCTTTGACGAGATCAGCCAATGCATCGTGGTTCACTTGTGGCTCAGCACTGTGTGGGTGTAATAAGCGCGAAGACTCTGGCCTTAGTCTTGAGCATCTGAGACCCTCCCCTGGAGCGAGGTGCTCGAGCCCAAGCCCACTCAGGTCTCCGTCTCTCCATATACAACAAATAAAATACAAGGATCCTCTGCCAATCCATCATCGGTGCCACGGCATTCTGGGAGCACATCACTTCAGCAGCGTTGGCATTGAGTGCAAGCAAACCCCTGGACCGGTTTCAGCACGTTCAGTGCTTCGTCGGCAGAGTCAATCTGGCTGAGATCAGGCCCTGGAAGCGATTGGTTGCGTTCATAAATGCAGTGACACCTCTCCCTCCCCGGTTTACGTGTGGGGGGGGGGGGATGCATTCCTGAAATGTGCGACGACGAATATCGAGACGATGTCAATCGAAGCGGTTTAACAGGGGTAGTGGTAGGTGGTGGTGAAGGCTGAGAGACGACGGATAATGAGAAAGGAGGGGAAGATGCTGTCAGCGACGTTAAGAGCGTGTGGGGTGGTTGAGGCGATACTAAAGCGATGACGCATTTGCGAAAATACGTAAAAGGGGAGAGACGTACATCGGGGTGTCGCTGTACTTTTGTTTTACGGTGAGGGAAGGGATATGTGAATGAGTCTGTATCGTCTGCTTATCTATTTTCCAAATGCGAATTTAAGTAATTGTTTCCTGAGATAGTTTGATTTTATTTACTTTATATTTTTAATATTTAACATCTTGTTTATTGACTCTCGCTGCCGTGTCTGTCGACTTGCCGAGTCACCCTTGCAAAAGAACAGCGTAGCTCAACGTGTAATTTACTTTGATATTTATATTCTCCACAAAGACGCGAAT